CTTTCTTCACCAGTGTGCATGAAGGATGATACATATTGCAAAGTTTTTTTTAGCAAGCAGCCACTTATTTCAGCTACATCTAGAAATCTAAATTCATTATGCATCCACCTGTGCCAGTTCTAAAATAGTCTTGCTAAAGGTCTATCACATCAGCAACTGTACCAGAAGAGTATTAAACACTTTCTTTTAAGTAAATTGGGAAAAGGGGAAGAGTTGATTAGGGTTTTTTGTTTCAGCTGAATTGCACTTGGTATTGTAGCATGTACATCTACTCCCGTTCTTTGGGAATGAATAAGGCCGAATTTAGTTATTAACCAATTGCTAGTGACTACTGCAATGGAAAAAGAAGGAAAGTACTTATTTGGTCATATAAAGTGACTGCCTTCTTAGAGCATATAATGGGATTCACTGGTGTTCTTAAACAAAGAAAACTTTTTTTGCTAAATTAGGATGCAAGAATATAGGACACATTTCTAAAAAAAAAGAGAGAGAGAGAGAGAGAGAGAGAGAGAGAGAATTCTGTATTTATTACAGCATTTCCCAGAAAGGCAGTACACAAATTGTTATATATACTATGTATATTTAACAACATAAATGTAACAATCATTAACGGGAACCAAACAGACATTAAGATTTTATACCATTCCAAACTATACAAACTAAAAAAATAAAAAATAAAAAGTTTCCTTTATAAAAATATAACAGTTTACATAATATCCAAACTCTGTATTAAAAAGGACCTGCACTTTAAGTACATTCATGGAAAATAGCGAGCTATTGTTGTTTCTGCTATATCACATAAGTATGATTACCACCTTTCACTAATTTTAGTTTAAATACACTTGTTTATAAAGCATGATCTCCACAATAAAATCTTCTTGGAATATTTACATCTCTTCTTGCATGTGGTTCTTTGGTATATATTTCTTTTTATATTATTTACAAAATACTTGGCATTTAAGATATTAGTTACAGTATCCAGAGACCTCAGTCACAGATCAGGGTGCCATAGTGCTCAGTGCTATACACATATTCAACAAAATGGTCACTTAAACCAACTTATAATTTAAGGATGTGACAAGACAGGCTGCAGGGCAGGATAAAGCACAAGACAGTAGTGAGATAGTTACATAAGTATATGTAGTAGCAGTCACAGGCCATCAGCTTGAAAATACATTTTCAAGTATTATGTAGGCATCATAGTGAAGCTCGGTTATAACAATGGACAATTTTACCTAAATGGCTTTGGTATCATTTTGCTTTTTTTTTTTTTTAATTGTTTTTAAGTCATATCATCTGCAACTTGGAATAATTAAAGGGGCAAAAAATTCCAAAATGTGAAATCCTTTTCTTAAACTGATCCCAGATTGACAACATGGCAGCCAGGAATCTTCACTTTAATTCATGGCACAGGTATAAAACTGGGAGAGAACAAGCAGCCGTTTTCCCCTCACACTGCCCTGTCAGTGCATCTCATCCCTAAACAAGACCAATTCATGCCCGATTATTTTGTAGTTTCCACTGCAAAATGCACAGGGATTGAGACCAACTCAATCCTTAACAACTTTCACTCTACTAGCCAGGGCCAAGTACAGAGCTCTGCTGTTCAGAACCAAACTCTTGAACCATGTAGCCCCTCAGTTAATATATGGGCAATTAATGTTAAAATATTGCTCAGATTTGCAGGCTGGACAAGCTTGCCAGATTTGATAGCTTTACCAGCTTTGATAGTGGAGTCAGCACAAACTACCTGAGCTTTTACTGACTCTGCATTGCTGTCCCTGTCACCAGTGCATTACTTGAGACATGTCCCTTGCAACTTCTCCATTGGTTTTGCCATTGCATATAGGTTTTGTCATTCCCAATAGTGGTATGCTGTTCTCAGAGAAGGCAGCAGTAGCGGAGTCCTTCATCTTCTGTAGATTATCTGGAGAAAGAGAGAATCCATAGACTTTATAGACGGAAGGTATTTAAAATCAGTGTGTGATTTTAACATCTGTGAAAGCAGTTAAAACCCATATTCAATTGACATGTGGTCTATTGCCACTTTGGTGAAGTCCAACTTAGTTCTTATTTGGAAGGCTTGATTCTAGCTCAGATCTACATCCACAAGAGGCCTATTTTTCCAGTATATATTTTTTGATATGGAAAAAGTTAACAAAGCACAAAAACTGAAGTCCCATGTGATCAAGTTCTGATATTTATCACATCCAAACTTTATGACACCAAACCTGACCTCAAGGCTGTAGTTTAAATCCAGTCATCCTGGACTAATTTGCTTGTATGTGAAGTGATCTGCAAGTGAAGACCAAGCAGTTCTCTTACTTGTGCAGGTACATTATGTATTGTACCCTCCTGTGCACCAGCATCATAACTAAGCGACACAGTGCTCTGAACTTTTACTACTAGAGGAAGGAAACTACATCCTTTGGAATCCACCCAATGTGTGTTATACTATGGGGAATATAAATCTTTGATCCATACAATAGACAGAAGACTCTTGTCTCAAGGCACTTAACACAAGGGCCAGAAAGTGAAAGTCAAATACCTAGGTTCTTTCATTGTTTACAGAAGCTTTTTTTCAAAGATAATGAAGCATGACAGTGTTTAAGAAGTGTTAATCTTCACAAAACGCAGCCAAGTTCTTCACTGAAAAGTCTGCAGAGTCCTACTGAATCTAGGTACAGATGTAAAAAGAGCAGAATGGGCTCCAGGCTTATTTACCTCATCTTCTTTGAAATGCAATGGGAAGTTCTCGATTGGGGATCAGTATTCCTGAATGCAGGGTCTCTACTGGCTCATTGTCGGTTGCTACAATTCGATATTTGCGAACGAGCTGAAACGCAAAAAGTTTGAGTAAGCCGATGCCAAGTGTCACTATCTGAATAACTTAATGTTGAACGCTGCATAATGTATTAAAAAGTATACTGTTATATTTACCCAGCAAATGGCTAAGTGAAGCTGCAGCTCTGCTAAGCGACGTCCAATGCACATCCTTTTCCCAATGCCAAATGGAACATGAGAAAAAGGATTTATTCTGGTATTTTGGAGCCAGCGCTCTGGTTTAAACTGATTCCAGTCTCTAAAATACTCTTCACTGGATCCCACAGCATGGCTATTTATCATCAATATTGTCTGTGAACAAAAGCAGTTGGGGAGAGATCAGTTAAGAACTGGTTGGTTCTGACTGACTTAATTGTGTTAATGGGGGAAAAAGTTGGTAACGGTAAAACAATGTCTATTTTCTTGGAAAAAAATTAACACTATTAGATCATATGCACAGAAAGTAGATGGCGGATATAGGAGTAAAAGAATTTTTTGAAGAAGCTCTTGGATTCAACACTAAAACATGCAGGAACTGTGGGGGCAAATTCAGTCCCAGTGTAAGCAAGGGCAACTCTGTTTAAGCTAATGGAGTTACAACAGGACAGAGTTAGGAGAGGATATTAGATGGAGAATTACTGTACTACTTCCATACTAGCCTCCATCCTTTTGATAACTATCAGGTATAAGATAAAAATTAAGGGTTAGTAAAAAAGGAGTTGGGTGTCAACAAAGAAAACTAAGCCTATCCTCCTTGCTAGAGACAAGGACTTTTTAGGGTAATATCTTTTATTGGATCTATTACATGGTTGGGATAAAATTGGACAAACTTTCAAATGTGGGCATCCTTCACAAAGATACAGGAGAACTTCAGAAGTTGGTCTAATAAAACATAACACCCCCAAAAGAGTTTTTTCCTTTTGCAACTTCCCTGTAACACTACCTATCCTCCTTGCAATTAGAGCCATTCATTTCACTAATCTAATTTTATTCCAGCATTTGAGTGCTTTTTAATTTCTAGGAAATCATGTTCTTTTTCTTTTTTAACAAGTCGGTATTGTCTCTTTAGTTAGGCATCTGCAATAACATGGTGTCTGAATATTAAAGTTGATCACTGCCATACGTAGGAACTATTCCTTGACCGCATCTACACAAGACACTAACTGCATAGTAGTCCAATACTACTGTGCAGTAGCATCATATGGTAACAACCACATCTATACAAGTACTAAATGACTGCGCAGTCAGTGTCTTGCATAGACGCAGCCCTTAAGTCATTTTTCAGAAATGGTTACCCTATATGTGTTTAATTCGACTGTAAAAGACTTGATAAAGAAAACAGCTTAGAATAAATTCTACTCACCCCTTTGGGTAGCATATAGTTCCCAACACTAGTTTCTTTGTCAAGCGTGCGACTGGTAAAGGGCACAGATGGTGTTATCCTACAGGCAAATAAATAAAATTAGTCTACCAAGATTTTTCTCCACAGGTGCCCACAATGTTTTATTCTAACTAGTAAGATGACAGTTATGTAAAATTTTAACACTAGAAAGTCTCTCTCTATTTGAGGAGCTACACAATCACTATCAAACAGAGCCCATTTTGCTTTACAAGTTATCTAGACAGTTGTACCTCATAGATTCTTTCAGACACGCTTTTAAATAAGGCATTTTCTTCACGTGCTCAGAATTTGGACTCTCATTCTCAGATACTACGTTCTGTATTTCATTGAGAAGCTTCTGTTGGACATGTGGATTACGTGAAAAGTTGTACAGGGCCCACAGTAGACTATTGGCAGTCTGCAACATGAACAGAAGACTATTATGAGCTCAGATAGGAGAATACAGATGACCAATTTGACAAAACACCCATAACAAAAGCATTTGTATCACATGCATTGTACAGCTAGCCCACTAGAAAGGTCTTCCACCTCTCTTAGACCTAATACCATACAGTGTTCTGCCCACTGTTCTCCAGCAGAAAGCAAGAATTGAGGGGAAAGGAAGGTAGAAATACCACTATTTAGTGGTTTTAAGTGAAGTTTCACTTGTGTCCATGCAGTTCTCTTTAAGTGACTGTGTAGCAATAGCTCACAGTCACATACTTGCTATCTTTCCTTTACTGAAGGTTCAATAGCTACTAACCATTTTCCAGCTCTATTATGGATACTTATTTCGATGATATTAAGGATAAATATTCTCCATGTGCAGGCAGCTGGGATGGTCTAATCTGGGATCATCCTGCTTTGAGCAAGAGGGCTGGACTCGATGACCCTATAAGGTCCCTTTTAGCTGTACTTTCTTACAATCCTATGACCTTAACCACTTTGCAACCTCTTTCTGCTACCAGCACTCAAAATAAAAAACAGGTCTGTTCTTGGCAAATTTACCGTTTCAACTCCTGCAATCTGAAGTTCTGCAATAGTTGCATAAAGCTCTTTCTTGGAAAGCTGGCCCCTGAAGTAAATGTCACAAAGGAAATCTTCAGTAGGGTTGGCAGAATGTTTCTGCAGTCTGTTATCGATTGAACGCTTCGCTGGGGATGGATGGAGAGGAAGCAATTAGAAAGCTACTAAAAATTCATCAAACTAAACAGGACAGATTCGTTTCCTGTTTTATGATCATTGTGATATTGTTATAGACTATGGGTATCTCCCATCGTCACTGCAACACAGACCTCTTCTATTCACAACCCTCCCCCCCGACCCAAAACAAAACTACCAAACCCCAACATAAAAACAAAAACCGTAATGATCAGAGAAACTTCTGAAGATTAGTAGGTATTCTGCCTTCTCAATGTGTGTATATATGAATACATATAATACCACTACTTTGTATAAGCAACACACTTAGCCATAAATATATGGGCTGTAGATATAACCAGGATAAAGCTTACTGGCCTGGATCCTCAAAAGGAACTAAGGGAGCTGAAAAGAAAATCAGCTGGGAGTTGGGTGTTTAACTCCCAAAGCCATTAAAAAAAAAAAATGTTCGTTTCTGACTATGATACACCCCATATTTCAACCGAGTTACTTTTCCTTTATGGTCTGTTGGTTTTGCTACCCTTTTTAGTAAGTGGTTCTTTGAAATCAATGGTAATGATTATGAACAGGGTTATTCAAACCAAGTAAGGGCCAAAATATAGTTCTAGGAATGAAACAAGTATTTAGTGTGTATTTTTCTTTTAAACACTGAGCAAACATTGATAAAACAATCCTGCTCCAATCTTGGCACAGCAAAGTGGCATATATTTCCTCTATCGTTAAGTAGATCTTACCTTAAGCCTTAAATAATCAATCATTGTGCAATAAACAGTGGGAAGAAATAATCCTAGTCAGCACTACAATAATGTGAGTTACTAAACCTTGCTTAATTTTTAACTTGAATTATCACAAGGTATTCATAAAGGGGGAAGAAAAGAAAAAAAAAATCATCCAAACTTCATATCTGAAGGCTGTGATTACCAAGTGTTCCTCTAATGCCAATAGACCCAAAGCAAGTAGAAACTGCTATGCTAAAAGCGAGTCAGTACTCTGCTACTTTGAAGGTCTCTGTTATAAAAGGTACATGGATAACATATTGGAATCCAGTTCCATCAAAACCCTATTTTAAAAAAGTCTCTCTTAGCACATAAAAATCCTTGCTTCTCAACAACAGCCTTGAGATAGGGCATTTTATCATGTTTTACGTGACAGACTACTTTCAACCTATTTACCAGTCATGAAAAGCTAACCTAGGATCACTAATACTGCTGTTTCCAAATGGTTACCTTTAGATCACATGTTGAAAAAGAACTAGAGCAAAGCTTTAGTTGTAGGTATGAGGTGAGAACAGTGTACATAGGGAATTTCCACTATCTGAGTAAAAGAGATCTGGGGTAAACAGGAACAGGACTGTTGTGTTGCAGAGCTGCTTTGCAATGCAGTAACATTTGTAAAAAGAATAAATCCAAATTGGATATGCATAGCCATGTGAGGACTGGATCTAAGTTACCTGTTTTAAAGATATTGTCCCATGCGTTAGTATGAGCTTGCCAGACTTTTGTGTTCAGACTTTTATGAAGTTCAACTGGGGTCACCATCATCATCCCAAAAGTAGCCATCATCTGTGGAAACAAAAACATTTTTCACTATAAAAGTTATCACCTCCCAGATATGCTTTGTAAACAGAAATGGGTAAAAAGAACAACGTGTTCTCACTGAAACAAGGGATGATGCATGGTTCTGGTGGGTTTTTGTCAAGTAGGGGTACAACAGGTATAGTCACAAGAGTGAATTTTCATTTTGTAGGCACAAAGTCCTGCATATTTTAACATGTGAGAAATTTTTAGCAACCAAACTAAGTTAATGACATTGCACAGTGTGCACCTCTTATACAGAAAGGAAACTGTGTTTGGAGATAGAGGAGAACTTGACCAACATGTTTAAGAACTAAGGCTCCTTCTCCATACCGTTTTCACAGCCTTGATGAAGTTCAAGCCTTCTTCTCCAACATCCTGCTGCAGAAGCCCAAACCTTTTCCCATACAACACCAGGCAGATACCTGACATTAAAAAAATAAATGTTACACAATAGATTAGCCTCCAGCACTCATTCAACTGCCTGAATTGGCTTCTGAAAAAAACCAAACAAACCCAAAAGAGACTTCTTTCTAAGATGCATATTTATCCACAAACAATAGTGTAGACACTTCAGGGCAGTTCAAAATAACTTCCCCATCAGCTGATTCAGCCGCAGGGGGCACATCTACACATTTATTAATGCACCTTAGTTACTTCCCATTTAGTTTAGTACCTACTTAATAAAATACTAACAAAATGCTCAGTAACTAGAGTTACTGTGCAGTAGCACCAACATACGGTTTTGTGATGCTTGCTGCGCATTGGTCTAATAACACCCTGCAGTACATGGTTAGCATAGTTTTTGACTGCCACACTACTGCGCAGTGTTATTAGGCTAAAGCCCAGTAAGTGTTTCATGTAGATGTGCCCAGGGTGACTTCAATACTCCATGAGCGAAACAGTCACACTTTCCCCTATAGATGTGTAAGTGATCCCTCATCATGAATGGCATATTGCTCTGCCCAGCTTGGTTACTATGTTTGACAACCGAATATAAGGATTCCCCAATGAGAAATTTTAATGAGATTTTGCAAACCTTATTGAAGATGCATTTTTCTTCTTTTTTTTTTTTTGGATCAGGTCTTCATTATCTAGTTTGTTCCACTGCTTATTAGGAAGTACTGTGTTGTGTCTTTTATACCACAGCTATTCCAACCCTTAGGAAACTAGCACAGCTTTGTCACCTATACTGTTGTGAACTAATCCACGTTAAATGTCATACCAAGTACCAAAACACTTTTTGATCTCTATTGTAAGGTAGAAAACTTACTTTCAAATGACCACTTGTTGAATTCTGAATACAAATCTTCCATTTCACCATTTTTTTTGCAAAGATCATCTATTCTCTGCATGAAATCTGGCAGGACCTAAAGGAAATAGAAGAAACTGGTAAATACAGGTCCTAGGTAATTTAACATTTCCAGCTTATCTTTTAGTAGATAGATAACTGTCTTGTGTAACAGAGGAATGCTTGTATTTCCAGTAGGATTTTATTGCCCAAAGACTACAGTACTGTAACAGGAATTTTTTCTTCTGTTATACAGTTATAAACAATTCTGGAGGTTTACTTCTGCTGAAATGAAAATATATATATTTTTAAGGACATTTTTTTGTGTCCCAAGTCAAATCAGCCAAATCAATTCCAAATCTGTGTCATTCAAGAACCATATGTAGCTCTGCTACCAGCAAGCATCCTCCACCCCTACCTGGGACTTCAGATGCTTCCAAATCCTTTGGTAGTCATCCTACATATGGGCCCAAGCCCAGAGGCTTGGGGTTCGGATGCCCCTGAGGTTTGCTTTCCCTCAGCTGCAGAAGCAAGCTAAGGAGGAGTCTCCCATTTCCATAAAGTTGGCGTATAGCTGAGATCTTTCCACTGAAAGTGAAAGTGGGAGGCTAACTAGTGACCTCAGTCAGGACACTATCCCCTTCCAGGAAAGTGGTTTTCCCCAGCCAGTAGGAAATCCACTTTGGTGGTCATGGTATTTCCCCTGAAAAGATGTCTCAGTCTTACATCAGACAGGGGGTAGGCAATGATTTTGGGGGGGGGCAGGGGAGGTGACATCCTTTATTGGACCAACTGCATGGTTGCTATAAATTTAGACAAGCTTTCCAATGCAGGGCATTCTTTATTAGGTCATTATAGCCTAGTTCGGTTCACTTGAAGCAGATTGCCTGAACTGCTTATCAGACACTCCTCAAGCTCAGAGTCTCCCAGAAGCAGATAAATATAAGAGGGAGTACAATTCTGATGACGTCATACATGAATATATTGTGTATGGTGTCTACGGGGAAATGATCACATCAGCCATGAGCTTCTCAGTTTACCTTGCTTTGGGTCAGACCTAATGTTCCCTTTGTATACAGCTTTCTTCTGAGTGATATATGAAAAGTGATCTTTTTAATGTGAAGACAGTTCAAGAACTGTATAGATCTGTGCCCTGTTGTCAGGTTTCCAGCACAAAGATAAGAGAGAGAAAGGCAAGGTGAAGCTCTCAGTACCTCATTGATTGTGGAGTCCAATTTCATCACCTCCGTGGGCTTCATCAGCTTCTTCTGAAAGGCACTTCTTACTCTCTGCCAGTCCTCCCCTTCTCTAGATTGAAATTCAAACAGCAGCATGGAAAGAATGAGCCAGGGGGAGTTTAACACCACAGCATGAAGCAGGTGCTTCCAGTTTAAAGTCTAGCTCTGGCTGGGATGAGACAGTTGGGGATGGTCCTGCTTTTAGGGCAGGGGGTTGGACAAGATGTGATCTCCTGAGGTCTCGTCCAGCCCTCACTTGCTATGCTTCTGAAACAGAGATTAGGGAAGCAGCAGCCTGTTTTACTGCAGCTTCAGTGCACCTGAACCACATAAAAAGGATGCCTCTTGCAGCGGGAATGGATTGGTTTCCCACAGGAAAGAGGGAAAGTGCTGAATACAGCCGGCGGTGACTAATGATTGCGTCCTGGGACCGCTGGTAACCTCGGGCAAGAATCCAAAACCCTGCCGGCTGAATAAAGAGAGCTGCTCACGCCTGGGGTTTACAGCATCCACACGCACAAAACCGCCGGCGGGAGCTGTCTGCAGGACACGCTTCCCTGCTCAGCCTCACCCTCCCAGCAGTGCCCGTGGCTCCTGCAGCCCCTTTACAAGACCACTTACAAGATCATCAGGCCGTAGCCCTCGCCCCGGTAGTCGCGGTAGGCTTTCCAGGGCTTGATCTCCAGCCTCTGCGGGTAGGCACTCTCCTTCCTGAACAAGGCTTCCAGCAAGCACGGAGCCCCGACGTGCACCGAGTCGAAGGCGCCCAGCTTCATGCGGAAAATCTTGCCGAACTTTTTATGGTAGTCTGCCTACGGGAAGGGGAGGGAGGGGGAAGGGTGGCTCAGCGGTGGGGACACGGTGCAGCTGTCCAGATGTGGAGGGGGAGAGGGGGGACTTACCAGCGTCTCGTGCTGCCGCTTGAGCCCCCCTTTCCAGAGCATGTCCAGCAGGCTGCCCATCAGCGTCCAGTTGGTGGGGC